CCAGCGCGGCCCCGCCCCGCCCCGACGCCCAGCCGCGCTGGCTGCTCTCTGCCGACTGCCCGCCCACCCGCCGGGCGGCGCTCCTTCTTGGCGATCCGGGTTCAGGCCGCTGGAGGTGGAAGTCTCCACCCGGTGGGCCAAGGGAACGGTTTGCTGGCTCCTGTGCAGCCGGAGAGGGGGTGGATCACAGGTGCCACCTTCTGCGGAAGAGGATGGACTTGAAGACCCGACTGGATCCCCGGAGGAGGGTGGTTTCGGCGTGGAGCTTTGGATCCGGCTGACAACACAGTTGCTGTCGTAGGACGATACTAAACTAAGCTCCTCGAGGGCTGAGCAAGTTCAAGTTCTTATCCTTATAACCTCAGTGCCATGCGCAAGTAGTTTGAGAAATGGATCGGGCAGGTGTGGTGGTGCACGCCTTGAATCTCAGCACTCAGGAGAGAGATGCAGGCGGATCTCTGAGTTCGAGGCCAGCCTGGTCTACAGGGCAGCCATGGCTACACAAACCTCCCCCCCACCCCCCAAAAAAAGAAAAATGAAAAGAGTGCAAGCAGCCAGGCTTAGTGGCACACGCCTTTAGTCTCTGCACTCAGGAGGCAGAGGCAGGTAGATAGCTTGAGTCCAGGATAGCCAGGGCTAAACAGAGAAACCCTGTCTTGAACCCCCACCCCCATATGCAAATATAAAATGAGAGAGACAGAGACACACACAGAGAGACAGAGAGAGAATGTGTGTGACAGGGATGGTAGGTGTCAAAACCAGAACTGGGTATAGCCAGTCTGTGGTTCAGCTTCTCGGTTGTAACAATGTATACCAGAGGTGGCTTCAAAACTCCCGGCAATCCTCCTTTCTGGGATTATCATGTGCTATTATGACTGTATTTCAGGACCTATTTCAGTCACCTGAAATGTCACGACCTCCTCTGCTCAAAAACCTTCATATTACCCAACATGCCTTTTACCCTCAACCCCTCAACATGTTACACAAGGTTCTTCATAATCAATCTTCCTCTATAGTCTTTCTCATTACATCATAACCAAATTTTTTATTACAGGCAAAAGAACATAACCAGTAGCAGTTACATAATCTATGTTTTAACTTCATATCCTTCATTTAATCTTTTTCTCCAAGTAATGTGTATGCATAACTAAACAGTATTAAAACTTGTTTTCAAGATTTATTGTTGTGGAATATTACTTTAGGCAAAGATGTGTTACATTCGTTTCTGTTGCATTTGTTTAACATGTAAAGATGTGTTACTGAAGACATGTTACATTTGTTTCTGTTGCATTTAAGGATGTAAAGATGTGTTACATTTGTTTATGCTGCACTTATTTACAATGTAAAAAGGTGTTGCTTTGCCTGCTTAAGGTACCTGATTCATCTAATAAAAGGCTGAATGGCCAATAGCCAGGCAGTGGAGGGATAGGCGGGGCTGGCCGGCAGAGAATAAGAAGGAAAGAGAGGAGAGAACCAGGAAGAAAGAAAGGGAGATGCCCAGGGGCTGCCAGGCAGCAGCCAGACAGCCAGACAGGAGGGTATACAGGATGAAAGGTAAAAAGCCCTGAGGCAAAATATAGATCAAGAGAAACAGGTTAAGTTAAGTTACAAGAGCTAATGGGACAAGTATAAGATAAGGCTGAGCATTCATAACTAAAAATAACTCTCCATAGCCTGGTGGTGGTGGCACGCCTTTAATCCCAGCACTGGGAGGCAGAGGCAGGCGGTTCGAGGCCAGCCTGGGCTACAGAGCGAATTCCAGGAAAGGCGCAAAGCTACACAGAGAAACCCTGTCTCGAAAAAAAAAAAAAAAAAAAAAGGAAAAACAAAAATCAAAAAACAAAAAAACTCTCTGTGTTATGATTTGGGTGCTGGCAGTACAAAAAAGCCTATAATATATTTATTTAAATTTTCAAGACAGTGTTTCTCTGTGTGGCCCTGGCTGCCCTGGAATTCACTCTGTAGACCAGACTGGCTTTGAACTCACAGAGATCTGCCTGCCTCTGCCTCCTTAGTGATGGGATTAAAGGCGTGCACCACCAATGCCTGGCAAGATTTATTTATATATGTGTGTATGTGCACACATTACAGGTTATCTCAAGTGGTCAGAAGAGGGTGTTAGAGTTACAGAAAACTGAGCCACCCATCAATAATGTCGATGCTGGGAATTGAACTCAGGTCCTCTGTAAGAACAGTAAGCCTTCTTAACAGTTGAGCCATTTCTCCAGCCCCAGTATTAAAAATGAAAAGCCCAGGATGACCTTGAACTTTCTACTCTCCTGTCTCTGCTTCTCAAGTGGCTGGGTTTACAGGCATTTAACATGATACCTATTTCTTTTTCTTTTTAATTTACTTGAACACAGTGTTCTGTGTGCATGTACACCTGCACACCAGAAGAGGGCACCAGATCTCACTATAGAAGGTTGTGAGCCACCATGTGGTTGCTGGGAATTGAATTCAGGACCTTGGAGGAACTGCCAGTGCCCTTCACCTGAGCCATCTCTCCAGCCTGTGTGTCTATTTCTTTCTCTCTTTTTTTTTTGGGGGGGGGGGAGGAGGGGTTTCAGACAGGGTTTCTCTGTGTAAGTCCTGGCTGTCCTGGAACCCACTTTGTAGACCAGGCTGGCCTTGAACTCACCAAGATCCACCTGCCTCTGCCTTCTGAGTGCCGCGATTAAAGGTGTGCGCCACTATCACCTGGTCTATTTCTTGATTTACACATTCTAGACATTGCCTGATGTTCCACCTTTTACTTTCTTAAAATATTGAAATCGGCCCCTACCCCTTTTAGGGTCTTGTATGTAGCAAGATCTCTACCACTGAAGCCCAGATTGTTTGAGCCGCACAGCTAATGTATGATTGAGGGTTGGTGAAGCAGTTCAGTGTAAAGGCCACACCAGACAACCTGAGTTTGATCCCCAGGGTCCACGTGGAGGAAGAACTAACTCCTGCAAGCCTGACTTCCACGGGTACACTGGCATGTGTGTGCTCCCCAACACCTCCACACAAGCCACATCATTTTAAAAAATGAGTTGAAAAGAATTTCCCTTCAGAATTCTGAAGGCATTTGTTTTCTGATTCCATCAATAAGGGGTTGGCTTGATATCGTTTCAAGGCTCGGCTTCTTTCTAGAAGCCTTTGGGCATTTTCTTTTTTTTTTTTTTTTATTCCTGGGACTCTGTGTTGCCCCGGCTGGTTTTTAATTCCTGTGCTCAAATCATCCTCCTGTCTTAGCGTCTGATAAGCTGGACTAGAGGTATATAATGGCTTTGCTTAGTGGGTCTCTTTCCTCATTCACGGTGCCAGGCATTTGGAGTATCTAGAAATACAACAATTGAGTGGATAATGTCCTAACCTCTCTCTTGCTCTCTGCCACTCTCATTAGATGTTGGACCTTCTGGATTGATTCTTCCTATCCTTTTTGCCTCTACTATTTTTGACAATTTCATCTTATTATAAGATTCCCTATTATTAGAACCCTTCTAGTCACTTATCTATCCAATATATCAGATTTCAATAATCCGATATACTGGTCTTTACGTACGTCCAGAGAGGATAAAAACAAGTGTAGCCAGGCTTGGGGAGAATGAAATCAAACTGACTGCTCCTGAGTAAAGCCAAGCACATGTAAGGCGGAGCATGCAATGAAGCATCCCCATCCTATCCAGTCTTCCAGTCACTTAAGACTGTCACTATAATTACTGCGGTTGCACAAGTATGCAGAGGTCGGACAACTTCCAGGAGTCAGTTCTCGCCTTCACTGGGAGTCCTGGGGACTGAACTGTGCCCTGAACTCAGGTCACCAGGCTTGGCTGGCAAGTGCTTTTTCCTGCTCGGTCACCTTGCCAGCCCTCAGAAGTTCTAAGGACTCTTTTTTCTCCAATTCTCCCCTTTTGTGACATTTTTCTTCATGGACACAGCAGTTTCCCTCCTTTGAGTTTTCATAATCCTAATCATAGCTTTCTGCCCTCAAACTTCTCAGAGTATCCTACTTTACCAGAGCCCCCATGTTTCCCTTCATGTTTGGTTTCTACTTCCCATGCTGGAGGATTCTTCAGTTTGGGCCTTGGCTTTTAATGCATGTAAGGCACTAAAATGCAGGTTGGGAGCTCCATGCACAAGGGCTACTACTAATAACTAAGTTTCACTGCAGGGTGGTCAAGTGTGTGTTCTTTGGGAGGGTCAAGGAAAGGAAAAGTGTCAACATTCAAAGGCCGTGGTTTCCTTCCTGTAGCTGTTTTAGACTTGGGGGTTCTAGTCAATGTGTGGATGCAGCGTTCCAGCACTCACACAGTTTTCCTGAATTCTTCAGTCAACTTAATACCCCATCCCAACCATGTTTCTGACTGAGTGGAGGGCTCTGACATCTTGAAATCTCACAGGACTTTCATCATGCCGGGAACCCACAGGCTCTGTAAGTCTGGAAACGTGTGACAATTCCTGAGACAAGGTGTCACACAGCCTGGACTGACCTCAAACTGGCTGTGTGACTGAGGATGACATGGGCTCCTGATCCCCCTGCCTTCGCCCGCAAGTGCTCCATTACCCCAGTGACACTTACTAGTAAACTCTATGCACAGACCTTGGGATTACAGTCATGCTCCCGGCCTGGTTTCTCATGGCTTTCTTGAACGTATTTCTTTGGTGATGTCCTCCCTACCATTGTTTACAGACTCAACTGTACAATTCTTGTAGAGAAGAGGCTAGTCACCTGGCTGGATCTGTAAGTGGCAATGGTGTGTGCGCAGGGACATCTTTATCAGTGGATCTCTGTGTGAGTTCCTCTCTCCACATCTTTACTTTCCTCTAAGGCTCTAGACCAGT